AAATTTGAAGTTTTTAAAAGAAGCCATTTTCGGTTTCGTTTCGGTTTTCGGCCAAGTGCATCCTAAATTTTCGGTTTCGGTTTCGGCCCAGAATTTTCATTTCGGTGCATCACTACAAAGCATGTTTGTCTCTTTAGTGCATATGTGTCAAACTAAAGGCCCGTGGGCCACATCCAGCCTGGCATACAATTATATCCGGCCTGCGAGATAATTTTAGGAGGCAGAGGTTGGGTTAGAGGTTATTCATGATTTATGCATGTGCATGTCCACTGAGGTCAAGTGAAGTCATTTTCGTCATCTTCCCAGGTTTGCAAGGGTCCGCGCAGACTCTGTGGACATTTATATATCTTTTTTTTAATGGCCCAGCAATACGAAGCACCGATAACACACAGACTACAAATCCCATAATGCAGCTCAACAACTACCTTACCGAACTATAGGCCACCTTTGATCATTCCCGCATCAATTACATCAGATTAATCAAGTGTCTGTTGATGTATGCAACCCTAATTTCAAGTCAAAGCTAGCCCCCAACAAGAGAAAAGTTGATTCTGAAAACAGAGCCTTTCAAAACCGGTGGGAGGCTGAGTATATGTTTACTGACATTGCCGGTAAACCCGTGTGTCTTATTTGTGGAGCTAATGTGGCTGTAATTACACCTGTACAGATTCAGATGGAGAGGATACAGTTGCAGTGTAATGGGACACTAAAGGCAAAGTACGACACTGTGGGGCCCGCACAGTTCACTCGCTTCATTCCTGAAGCAATGCCCTAGTTCCGTCTACATGCGGCTAAAACCTTGTGTATGTTTGGTAGCACATATCTGTGTGAGAAGCTATTCTCTGTGATGAAGATTAACAAAACATCACACAGGAGTTGTCTCATTGATGAACACCTGCAGTCCATCCTGAGAATCTTTTCATATTTTGAATTAGAAAATATTTTAAGTTATTTTAAGTTTAAGTTTATTTATTTTGGAATAATATTGTATCCTCTCTGTTTCGATTCATATTTATATTCAAAAAATGTTTAGTTTTAGTCTGTGCAATAAATTTTTATCCTGTTCGGCCCACAACCTAAAGTGTGCTTTGAGTTTTAGCCCCCTGTGCGATTGAGTTTGACACCCCTGCTTTAATGTGTATCTGTGAGTCTGCTGGTATCAGACTCCTCAGCAGTGAATTCAGAACAGTACTGGCGGGTAGAAGAGGGATGAACTGGTGTGTGGGTGTGTGTGTCCTGATATTACTTATGTTGTGGGGACATAAATCTGTTTACACACCGTGGGCTCTCAACATCCTTATGGGGACAAAAAGCAAGTCCCTAAAATGTCAATGATTATATTTTAAAGTGATGACTTGGTTTAAGGAGGGCCGAGGGTTAGGCATGTTGTGGTTATGGTTAAGTTTAGGGTAAGTCTCGAGGAAATGAATTTAAGTCACTATAACATCCCCTGAAGTGATGGAAACACAGTGTGTGTGATTCTCCCGGGAGAGGGGAGAGGTGGCTGTTGTCAACAAGGATGGTATAATGTTTAACTCAGTAACATGAGATTTCAAATGAGCTCAGTTGGCATTTTGCAACAAGAGGGCATTCAGACTGAGAAGAACACAATAGGTTAATCAGTGACTCACCTACCTCTGGGACACATTTCACTGATTGTTCATGCACAATTAGGGAACAAGAGGAAATTAAACCCGAAAAGCTTCGGCATTATAGTACCCATGTCCTCTGATATCAAACTCCTTTATATGTCAATGGTAACAGCACTCTCACCTGGACATTTTCACTGGGACTGTTATCACTTAAGCCACAACACAAGAGCCTTTAATGTCTCTGCAAAGTTTTGAGCCATTCTGGGCAATAGTTTTTTTAGACTGGGCCAAAGTGGTGGACCAACAGATTAACACTGCCTTCTCCAGAACCACGCTGCTAGCTTGGCTATTTCTTAAAGGAAGGCACCATAATCAGCCATGACTCAAGTATTGTTTCGACATTATTATCAAAAAACTTAAGGTGAAACCTAGTCCTAAAGTTGTAATGTCCTGGCATAATAATAAAATCAAATCACCAATACAACAAACAATGTAAGGAAAGTACACCTAAAAATGACCTACTAAATAACATAGATAAACATACATTTGAATGAGAATCTAATGAAAATCCAACAGTTTAAAATTCTTGCATAAAAAGATCAAACCCCAGACACTAAGAGGAAAGAGCACAGATTATGATTATGATACTGATACTGACCTGGCCAGAAGTGTGACAGCACCAGCCACCACAGGAGAAGCCACACTGGTGCCAGACAGAGAGCGGCAGCCTTCTTTCATCCCTGATCCGCGAACGCCAGAACCGTAGGTGACGATGTCAGGCTTCACTCTGCCATAGCCCCCTGGCAGCTCCTGCACACAGATGGGATATGGATACAGAAGACCATTTAAAGACTGAGAATGGCTGAAAGAAGTTCAATGTGGCTGCAAGGCTGAGTGGATGGATGAAGGACATCAAACATGAAGCATTACAGAACTTCACCTGAGCAAACAGTTTGTCCCTTCACAAATCTTGTGCCACTTGAGCTTCTCTGCTACCTCATACATGTTTACACACAAAACATATGTTTTGGTTGTGTGATTATGCCTACACAATGATGTCATGCTCTGTTCAGAGAGGCAACTAAAGTCCAATGCACGATTGTCTCCAAGCTCTGAAGGACATATGGGCAACTCACAAGAAAGGGGCTGACTGAATACATGATGCCTGACAGTAGCACATACGGTACAGAAACAGAAGACAGTGACTGAGTAAAAAGTAAAAATGTCTAGAAAAGCAAGGGAGAGAGTTTAATGTTTTTAATGCATTCAAGCTGGAAAGCTGAGTGGCTTAGTGAAGGACTCTTCATGGTTGGCTGGAAAGAGATTGAACTCTTAAGCAGATCCCACAGCAGATGTCTGCCTTAGGCTACAACAGATAAAAAAAAAAAAAAAAAAAAAAAAAAAAAAAAAAAAAAAAAAAAAAAAAGCGGTGTGTGTGCACTTGTATGGCCAGCAGTGTGAGGACCAGTCTGAATTTTATACCATGGGGTTTTAAGGCTCGGGTTATAGTTAGGTTAGGGTAAGGATTGCAGTTAGGCATGTAGCTGTGATGCATTACGTTAATGACTGTCGCCGATCCTACGGTTGGAGGACGACCTCCTTTACCCCCCCTAGAATCTCTGGACTAGATGTCTGCTCTAAAACTGACTCTAAAACTGCATGGTGCGTGTCCCTGCAGTAACTCACCCAGGTGGTCATGCCTCTGGAGGAAAACCTGGCAATGTTGTCCTCGAAGTCAATGCCTCCAACCCCGATCACATCCATCTGATCTGCTGGATTGTTCAAGGTACTGCCAAAAAAATTTACTTTAGTTTACTTTGCAAGACTTATAGGCCCATTTCACAATTTCATATCTACACTACCACATGAAAGTGTGATGAGAGCAGGGTAAAAAAAAACAACAGTTGACCATGGGGTCATTTGGATAAAGTGGTCAAAATGGTACAAGGAAAGTAATTGTGCAATTAAACAAGATTTCATTAAACACCTGATAAAGTTTTCTTCAACCAGAACAAAATATCCCTTTGAACTAATAACGAACTGATGGTTAATGCTGCAAGACTTAGAAACTATGTAGTTTTTGCTAAACAATAAAAGTTTGACACCGTGGCTACAAGTGACAATTATTAGAAAATGCTGCTACATCTTTGCTTAGACTGCTGCCCCCGCGACCCGGCCCCGGATAAGCGGAAGAAAATGGATGGATGGATGGATGCTACTGTTTAGCATTTAGCTTAAGTGCTCAACTATTGTAGCAGTAGTAGAAAAGAGTCAAAGTCAATAAACCAACTCCGTAATATTTACTATAGAGCAGCATTTACCTAACCTTTGCTAACATTAGCCATAAGCTACCATTCATACCCCACCAAGTAAAACTTCAGCACCACAGCTCCTGAGTGTTAAATTGAGCGCTGGTGCCTTTTGTAGCTTATAAATTTAACTTCTCAGTCATAAGAGAAATAATCTGCTATATGTTCTTTCAAAATCTACATCTCCCTTTAACTGATCTGAGACAGTTAACAGCAATATTGTAGTCAAGTCACTAAACCTTGAGTCCGAGTCAAGTCCCCAGTGTTTGAGTCAACAAAGACTAATCCATGTCGAGCCTGAATCGAGTCCAAGTTGCCCGAGTCAGAGTCATAATGAAACACAACAGACACAATGTTCTAATGGTATTGCATCACCATACTGTTCAGCAGTTTGTTACTTAAAAATCATTTATAGAAAGGCAGAGTGTATGTTTCGATGGAATTCTGTCGGAAACAGCTGGTGCGGGTGAACGGGTTTTAATATCAATATCTTAGGCCAAATTATTATAGCTTATTATAAAAAATTTAAAAAAAGTCAGAGTCTGTGTCTCCAACTTCTGAGTGCAAACGCAGTCAATGCTCAAGTCCGAGTCCAAGTCACGAGAGGACTCAAGTATTACAGCACTGGTTAACTGAAACTAGCAGCAGAAGACAACTTGTTTCTTAGGTGGTACTGCAAATACACAGATGATAGTGGTCCCTCAGAAGGTTTTATTTATGAGTATGAATGCAATTGTTTGGAAGTTGAAGTGATCAGCACACCCATACAGAGGTCCATCATTGCCAATAGCGGAGACCATGATCACTTTGTTAGCAGTCAGCTCCCAAACCTGTCAATTAAACAAGAAAATGAAATGAGAAAAAAAAAACAATTTTCCCTGTGACTTATTGAATGATGTTTTTAAACAAGCCAACTGTATAAAAATACAATGGGAGGAAGGAGACAACATCATATAGTCACTGCTTTGGATTTACTTCAAGTGCAGGCGACCGGATAGCGTTAGCCCCTGGCTTAAAAAAGTTTCCACAGGGACGGGTCTTGCTGTTACTACTGGTTACCTGGCTGCTCCTTTCACACACTGCACTTAAATCCTAATAATATTTTGATCCGCATTAGCATACAATTCACAATAAATGCTGTAAATACAGAAAGCATTTAGGCTGTCAGGTTTTAACATCTAAATTGTTTAATGTATCAGACAACATGTTTCTGTGCTCATCCAAACACTTCAAATAGCCGAGTTCCAATGCTGCCATACATGTACCTGTGCAGCTGGTCTGACCTGTTTTCCCTGGTATTTTGCAGTTCATTAAGAGATTAGGATTAGCATGCAAATTAGAGGGAGGAATGGAGGTTTGGTAATTATTTTTATGCCTAAACAAAGATCAAAACATCTGCCGGAAGTTCTCATGAACATGGATAAATTTCAGTCAAATTTGGCCAAATGCTACTATGTGACTATATCATTCTTGTGTGCGGCTCTCTCACCTTATCAACAAAGGGGTGGTCCATAAAGTCAGGTCCCCCGATGCTGAGGTTAAGAACATCAATCTTCTTCAGGATGGCATAGTTGAAAGCATCCAGGAACCATGAGGTATATGACACCTGGGAGGTGAGGTGACACAAACACATCACATACTCCAACACAGCCCAAATAATTTTATCTTATTTAAGATAGATTTTGATAAATTGACTTGTGAAGAAGGTTTGCCATGGTCTAAGTATTATCAGTGTTTCCGGTCAATTAATTTTTGGGTCAGACAGTATAACTACTGTGCATGACGCTGCACTGGAGCACTTAATAGGCCAATTGACATACATTGAAGAAGTTGCAATTCATAACATTTGAATAAACAAATGAATTATGAAGTTTAGAAGAAATAAAATAGATGGTCTGACGATAACATCTGAAGGAAAAGAGTTAAATGTAAAAATTGATACCATTCTCACACAAGGGTTATGTGCAACACACAATAACAAATGAGTGGTCTCTTCCAAAATTACAAAGAATGAATGATGACTGAATTGTTCTTGTGACTATGCTTTTATCTTTAAAAACAAAGAGCCACTGTTTTCTCTTGCTTTTACCGATGCCTAGAAATAACGCGATAACAAGGTCAGTATATCATTTGACTACAGCGGCAAATACAAACAGCAGAAATATGCAGAGACTACAGCCATCAAAAAGTTCTGTGTGAAATTTCTTCAGGAAAATAAACAAAAATAAGGTGCAGTGCAAACTCTGCCAGGTTAAGTTAGTATATCATAAATCAACAACAACAACTCTGCACAGCCGTTTAAAGGCGAGGCCCCTAGCAGAAAGTGGGGCACGGTCCACAGATGGTCAATGGTCAGTGGCTATAGCTTTGTCACCCAAAGAAGGAAGTTTGATGATCGACATGCAGAGCAAATAACAGCCCTCATCACAAAGATGACAGCTATGCCACCCATTAGTTTCCTTGAGGGGGAGGGTTTTAAAAGTTTAACACAATTTGTTCAACTGGAACATATGGTCCCATCAAGAATGATTGGCAACGGCTAAAGGAGTACAGTAATGGGGTGATGATGTGATTATGATGGTAACATATGATTTTGAAAGACTGTGATCTATCCATTTATTATTTTTTCTGTACATTTTCTCCATCTATTTGAACTATATGTGGCCAGCTGGCCAGACGTTTCCTTGTAGGAAGAAAAGTATTATGCTGTTGATATATGATGTAAAGGTGTCTTGTAATCCCATGAGGAATGGGCTATGAAATGGCATGACACTTAACATGTGACCATTTCTTGGAAAGCAGCAGCAAATTTCCCACAATGTCACCAAAACAAATGATCAACTTCTTTAGCATATATTTCTTTTGTTAAGCTTTCTCTTATTCCTTCATCAACACTTTTAACCACCTTGTGTAGATTATTCCGATACTCCTGCTGGACTAAAGCATAAAGTTAAGATGAGCATATGTACTGTACGTACCTGGTTGTTGGTGAACACTCTGAAGATGTGCAGCTCTGAGTCGGGGGCAAAGCCCTGACACTCCCTCATACTGGCTATCACTCCTGCTACAAACGTACCATGACCCAGGCCTGAAAAACAGTTCATTTTTATCTGTGTCTCTCTCGCTCTCTCACACACACACACAAATTGAGAGTGCTTAAACCAGGCATAAAATGTCTACCATTTCCAATGCAACCTTAGCCCACATGGGCTTCCACCACCTTTCAATACACCACACATATACTACATTTAATATTAGTCCTAATCATCAAAATTATAGTTAGCACACATGCCTTTATCATCTTCAATAACATCAGCCTTTGTCATCAACATCTGTACATTCTTCCTTCTCACCATCATCCAGTGTCTTCTCGTTAGTCCAGTTGGTCCTCTCTTTCACATTCTTAAAATGTGGGTGCTTTTCACTCAGGCCTGTATCAAACACTGCTACTTTCACACCAGAACCTGCAAACAGAGGGGAGATCAAATCATTTAAAGCAAATGTGGTGCACCATTAACTCCCAACAAAAACAGATGCGTCTTTTTTTAATCAGTAACTTTCTTGTATTAGAAGATTTAGTTAAATTCCACCATTTTATGAACTGAAGCAGAGATGTTAACAGTCAGTGTCCTACCAGTGTGGCCCATCTGCCAGAGTACGTCTGCCTGCAGGATCTGGGCCACATGGCGAGGGATGGCTCGCAGCAACCGCCGGCTGGAGTGGCGACCAGTGGCATGCCAAAAACCCAAGCCCAGTGACAGACTGGTGCGTCTGAAAGGGCGGGATGATTGCCATGACTGCCATTTTTGCATCCCACCGGTGGCATCGCAGGGTGCAGCAGGTTCAGGTGCTGCAGGGACAAATAAAAGTCTTAAGAGCAAAGCCAACATGTGATGTCAAATGCCTTTTACATGCAGTACTTGATTACTTTCATTATGGCTAAATCTTTCAGTTTCCTATAAAGTCAGACAGAAAACAGCCTTTTTCATTGACATGCTGTCCACCAGTTCAGCTCCTCTTGGAGACAACACAACTCTGTTAACCCAGTCATGTTTACCATATTCTGATCCCTCATTTCGTTTACTTCTTACTATCCTGCCTCCTGTTTCTCACCCTCCTTCCATATTTTAGCTGTGATGCAAGGCTGATCACACCAGCCTCATTTGAACCCATCTTACCACAGTTTGACACAGTTGAAAAAAACAAATTATCATGAGGTCATTAGCAAACAGCAGCAGAGCACAGCAGGGCATTTTATATCTTTAAAGTAAGGCATCAATTCTGTCATGTTGTTTGTCTCTTACCATTCTGATCCATTAACTACCTCATGAGGCAGCTGCTTCATGGACTCAAATGGATTTAAATAGCACACATACAGCACACATGACCTTGCCACTGTCAGGTATTTCACTGCATAACAGAATCAAGTCTTAACTAGAGAAGCGTACACTCCCATGAGACTGAGTTTTTCTAAACAAATACTCTCAACCTGTGACAGCAAGCTACAAGTCTCCACGCTACAGCCTTAAATGTGCCATTCATTGATGTATTAAATCTATTCAATGCATTCACTTCTAACATCCTTCATGTATTCCTAGTACACGACCACAGATTCAGTTAACAAACTTAACATTTGGTTACTTATTGAGCTGACTGTGACAAGTCGCACACTGCATTATTTCCATTAGCTTCTCCAGACTGCTCAGATTAAACTAAGGTAGTTTAACATTTTACAACATATCAGTTGAGTCAAATTCCTTGTGTGTCCAACACACCTGGCCAATAAAGCTAATTCTGATAGCTAACCCGTGGGATTGCTACCTTGTAACCTTAACAACATGCATCAGTGTTTCTATGACACTGTGCAGACTTAAAATATTTAATGTAACTGTTTTTATTGCATTTGTAAATAAATGAATTGGGCAACATGCCACTCTTAATCAGAATGCTTGGTCCAATAAATGACAATATAAGAATCTGCAAAGGTCTGAGACCAGCATGAAAGCTTCCCTGAGATTACTGAAAATCTCAAAATGCATAAAGATGCAGAATTTATGCATGCAAGCTCCATGTGTCATGACCTTTTAAAGTTCAAATAAATTTTCTGTATCAATTTCTGATTATGAAGGGGCTGAAGATAAGAGGATGTGAATGTTCCTCCTAATAGCAAAAATTCAAAAGAAATATCCTGAAGAGTACAAATATTATTAAAATTAGAACATCACGAGTAATGTCTGAAAGATACTTAACATTTTAAAGACTGAATGAAGTTTCTCAGGGAAAAGTCACAAATCTGAACATTGCCCATTTGTTTGAATGTGGAAAATACTGAATATTAAATGACTAGTAGATGTTTATATGAGCTGAAACACCCACTTATTAAGTATCAGTGTAAATTTAGATCAGTTTCATAGAGATGCAAAAACATTATAGACACAGGCTAACTGTGTCTTAGTCTTTCTAGTGCCAGGAGCACGGCACGCAGCGCTGTCCAGGCAAGCCCCACCACACTTGCTCACCTACTCCCTCCTGGGTCAGCAAACACAGATGTTCTCTGTCCATCCTCCCATCCCCCAACAGCATACACACTGTCTAGCAATACCCACAAGTTGACCTGCACTTCAAATTACAATCTACAATCATTTTTCTCCAAACACAAGGCAGAAAGAAAAGTATCTTCTGACTCAACAATGACACATTCTACGTAGCAGACAAGCAGCTTTCTGTATCTTTCAGTTTTATATTTCTTTAGAGAATAAGCCAAGCTTAGAGACACTGAGATCCCTTTACTTACAAAATAACACCATACAGTATTGCCAGACTTACAGTGTATGTATTTCAGTGAACGGAACACTTTGCGTTGTGGCGTCACCCTCTTGATGTAAGGGTGGTCCTCTAGGGTCAGCAGACTGCTGGGCAAAGCTTGGTGGATGTGGACCAGCTCAAAGTCACTGGGGAAGTCAGAGGCTGGGTTTTCTCTAGGAACGATGTGCCATTCCAGTGCTCCGTTCCCAGCATTTCGCAGGGCACTGCTGATGTACAGGCTGCGAGCTTTTGCTGAGAAATACCCTGTAAATGCTATGATATACTCTGAGGACAGAAAGGTGAGAGGGATAGGTTTTCAAGATCAAGAAAGAGAAAACAAACAAAAAAATCTTTGTTAATTTGCTTTCCAAACAAAAAACTAGTTTTCATTCCTCCAACAGAATTCATCTTATCTGATTGGTGTCCAAATAATTTTAGGACAGAGTCTGGATAGCAAGTTGTGCAAACTACAGTGCCTGAACAGGGTGTGCTATACCCTGAACTCAGCACAGCAACTTTATTGCTGCTATTAAGATTTCATGTAACTGTTTTGAGGCATGACAGTTGTATGCAGTATGATACACAGCAACAAATTATGGACCCTCCCTACACCTCAAACCTCTCATTTAATATTAAAGTATATAAAACCCTGTGATGCTTGATCTTGCGGTATTTTTGAGTTAACATCTGGCCACAGTGCTGGATGGAGAAAAAATAAGGACATGGCAAAGCAAGTTGCCCAATAACTCAATTATCCTGTGAAGATATTTTATTTAACCCTTGTTTAACCAGGGGAAAAAATCTCTTTAGGTCTGAGACTTCTTTTAAAAGGGTGGCCTGGCAAGACAGCAGCTTTTAACTTTCTGAAGAAATACAATAAACGGACAGCATACAGACAAGCAACAATCAAAACTCTAAATAAGAATGTCATGTAAAGGGTAAAAGGGAAAGCATCTTGATATGCACTGGATGAAGGTACAAGTACTGGGGCAAGGAAAAGTACGTGAACTTTTTGGAATTACATGCATTAATGTATAAAGATGTTAAAATATGTTCAGATCTTCATCTAAGGTACAATTATGAATCTCTGAATTGTTGGTTTGCATAACGCTGGAAAACGTTACAATCAATCTAAAACAGTTTAGAGATTCATCAGCCTAAAGTTTGATAAACTGTCTACAAATTGAGACAGTTTAGTGTGTGACTACTATCCACACTCAAAGATATTCACTTGAACAATTTTTGTGTTATTTATGTAACTAATGTGTCTTTTAAGCCGAGAGCTGCCGGAAGAAATTTCATTGTGCTATGCATAATGACAAAGATTCTTGACTTGACTTGAAGATGACTCCAAAGGCATAATTTAAAATGTTTGTGAAGTAAAAACAGAAGCCCAGAGTAACAAGTTAATCCTGAAATGAATCATTAGAGCTGGTTAACATGTCTGCTCATCAATCTACTATACACAAAGCATGGTGTATAGTTACATGAAGCACAATGTTCATGTCCAGACACCATGGAGAAATTCAACTGGGGCTGGGCCAAGGCCTGTGAAGGCTAAATAAGTTGCTGTATCTGTATAGGCCAAGCCCTATGGAGCCCAGTCAGGTACAGCCTGAAAAAAATTACAATGGAGCCAGCCCAAGCTTATTGGGGTATCTTACATAACGGCAGGGTGAAAGTCTGACAGCTGAAGCCCAGTAGAAGTTGGTAATCGAGCAGGACAGTTAATCTAAACATGAAAGAAAATCTATAACAGAATGGGTTCAAACAAATTAGCCTTTTGGAGCAGCCAATCAGAGCCCAGACTTTGACCCAGCAGAGATGCTGTGGAATGAGCTCAGAGAACCGTTCACAGCAGACATCTGACCTGAAGCAGCTCTGTGAGAATGAATGGTTCAACATTCCTCTGAAATGTTGTGCAGGTCTGAGCCACAGCTACAAGAAGCAGCTGTTTGGGGTTAATGCTGCCAAAGGCACTTTGACCAGTTATTAAATCCATGGGTTCAATTCCTTTTTCCACCAGCACTGTGAATAGATGTGTCCAAGAAAGATACGAAAGATTATAATTGTCTGTCATTAGCACCTTTTCTGGCCATTTAAAGTGAACCAAATGGTTCACATTCTTTTCCTTGTCACTGTACCTGTCAAAGGTCTAATAATGACATTTGATATGCATTATCCTGATTGGTTAATTCCACTGATGTGGTGTCACAAATATATAATACAAATGCACATTTTATGGATTCAAGCCAGAAAAGAAACTGAAAAACGAGAAGTCTTTCAATTTTAAAACCCGTTATTCATGATCTCATTCCTAAAGGAATAGTTTGGGAAATATATTTAACTGTTTTCCCGCTGCAAACCAGTGGTTTGCAGCCGAGTGTGAAGTGGCTGGGGGGGGAAACCGACCCTCCAAACCC